AAAAAACAAAATTTATGTAGGCTCAGGGGACTAAAGTGCCTGCTTAGGCAGAGCGCAGAGGCCAGGGTTTGACGCTCAGTATGCTGTGTGCTGGGCATGCAGCACACTGAGATAGCAGTTGAGACTGGGTGTGGTGTCGTGCACTTGTAATCCCAGAACTTGGGAGGCTGTAAATAGGAGAATCACGATGAGTCCGATCTGTGTACTGAGACCCTGTAGACCCTGCCCTAAAAAAATATGGGAAAAAAAAGAGTTATGTAGGGGCTGGGGAGATGGCTCAGTGGAATAAGCGCTTCCCTGGCAAGCCTAAGGGCCTGAGTTCAATCCCTGGTTCTGCCAAAAAAAAGAGTTATGTAGACATACAATGGCCTTCTTGGCCTGATGTTTTAAAAAACTGAGGCTTCCAGATCAGTAACCTTGATTCTAAAATAAGGTCATATCACCAGTCTGGCAGGTTCAAAGTTATTGACAAGCCTGTTTTTCCATAGATGCTGTACAGAAATGAATTTTAAAAATGGGCTGATTTTTAACTTTTGCTGCACACAGTTCAGACAGCCCACTTTTTTTGGTCACAGGCACACTTCTATTTATATATGTCTAAAATAAAATTGTTATAATGGTATAGTTTAGATACCCTGGCAAATCAGCTAACAATGATGTGTTCTTTTTTAACAGCACTCAAACCCAGGACATGCTGGACCCTTTCCTGTTGTATCAGTACACAACACCACAATCAACCCAACAAGCCCTACTACAGCAACTATGGCAAATGCAAACCGAGGCCCCACCAGTCCATCTGTTACAGCAATAGAACTTATCCCCTCAGTTACTAATCCAGAAAACCTTCCATCCTTGCCAGATATTCCACCCATACAGGTTTGTGTTTAAGTTAAGTGAATCATTTAAGGCCTTTTTAAATTACAATTTTGGAGTACACATTTCAGATTTTATGATTTTTAAAATTCAGGGCCAACGTTTCTTTGAAACTTATAAAGTGTAGATATTAGAATGTGAAAAAGTTCTTCTGCTAAAACTAGCATTCTTCAAAATTTTAAAGTTATAAGAAATGGAGTATTCTGTATTATGAGACTGTCCAAATACAGGTACAATGAAGGATTGTCAGCTTTGTTGGCTTTTTGCCACCTGGCAACAGGCTAATATTCTGGTGTGAGTTTGGAACTAGAAAGGATACCCAGGACAAAAATGGGGTCAAAATTTTTGTCATTCTTCTTTTAGATCCATAATGAGGGATAGTCAGCTCCTCACGCAAATCATTTGGGCTGAGAAAGAATGGGGTTTGGAAAGTACAGAAGTCAGGTACTGTCCTAGTTACTTTTCTCTTGCTGAAACAAAATACCTGACACCCAAAGTTAAAGGAAGAAAGGTTCTTTTCAGCTCACTGTTTGTAGAGGTTTCCGTCCATAGACCGCTGGCTCCAGTGTAGAGTGGTGTGGCCAAGGGACATCACAGAGATGATGTGTGGATTGGTTTAGTAGCCACATACCCTTGATCCCAGGATCACACATAACTAGATCTGTCCACCGCTGACTACATGCGGAGGGTCAGGAAGATCTAAACATAAGCCATAACAGGTGCTTTGGGCTGTGTACTACAAGGAGAAATACAGGCAAGAAGAGGAGATGGTAGCATGAAGAGTCTCTAAGACTTCTTGTCTCTTAACTTTGACATTTCACGGGAGCCTTTCTGAAATTTCCACTTTATGTGAATTAAAAGCATTTCTTTTTTAAACACTGTAAATACAGTGTTTGAGGATTAACTTGATTACTTCTTACATTGTATGAGTCTCATGGGAGTTGCAGGTCACCATGGGAGCAAAGAATACTGAAACTGCTGAGTTAGTGAGACCTTCAGGACTTCCTATGGGTGCAGTTTAGTATATTTTGTGTATTAAATGGGTTTATGTAAGAGTTTAAATGATATTTCTGTAATTTAGAACTGTTTGAAAATCAGTGACCTGTGAAATTTTCTTAATCTGACTGTTTCCCTCATACTAGGTTTTTTTTGGGTTTTTTTCTGGCTAAGAGGATGAGATCATATATGTGATGTTCTGACTTCTTCAACTTAGCGTGTTTTTCAAGTCAGTATGATAACAGGAATTGGTAATTCAGTCCTGTTTATGTCAGTGTAATACTCCCTTATATAAATATACCACATTTTGTTCATCGGTTGCTTGATGTTTGGATTTTGCATTTTGACTGTTAACAGTAATGCTGCTAGATGGGCATGGTTATGCATGCCTGTAATCTCCATACGTGAAAAGCTGAGGCAGGAGGATCGCCCTGAGTTCAAGGCTAGCCTGGGCTACCTAGCAACACTTGTTTCAAAACAAACAAAATCATAATTCTCTTAAGAGCTTCCATCTTCATACATACAATTTTCATTATTTGTTTTGCCTTTGAGACAAGGTCTCACTATGTAGTCCAGCTGGCCTTGAACTTACTCTGTAGCCTAGGCTGGCCATGGCTTCTCAAGTGCTGGGATCACAGGCATGTGCCATCACACCTGTTTAACCTTTTTTTTTTTTTTTTGGTGGAACCGGGGATTGAACTCAGGCACTTGTGCTTGCCAAGCAAATGTTTATTCTACTGAGCCATCTCCCCGGTCCCTGTTTGACCTTTTTGAGGAAATGCCAAACTCTTCCACAGTGAGGACACCATTTTATAAACTCCCTAACAGACGTATAAGAGTTTCGGTTTCTTCACTTCCTCACCAGTACTTGTTATTGTCACCTGTTTTTCAAAGTAGTTAGAGGTGTCTAACCTAAAGGCACAAACATGATGAGAAATAGTTAACCAAATGAAGAGTAGAGAGGAAACCTCTTATCGCTCAAAGTCATCTACTTACTACCTTGTCTTTTTGTAAGTTCCATAGTACAGTAAAAAGAAACTTGAAGGTGGTTATGCAGGGAGCTAAGCAGTATTTACTATGCAAATCAAATGAAGTTAATATAAGGCACCTTCAGATACTTGTTGATTTGTGTCAGTAGTATTGACCATTGTGACAATTTTGTTGTATAGAATAGAACTTGATTTAAATAACAATCTCTCAACCTGAATTTTTTTATTTTACAAACTGTCCATCTCCAACAGAGTAATAATTCATATTTACAGTGCTGAGGAAAAACATAATAAATCTGAATACTGTTAAAGGAATATTAGATTATATTCATAATGAATTTAGTATTCTAATAACATCTTTTGGGGGGTACTGGGAATCAAACTCATGACCTTGTACTTGCCAGGCCCAGCCCCTCTAATAATATATCTTACAAATGTTTTGAAAAATTTTTACCCTTATTTGGCATACTCAGTAGCTTAATTTATCTTGTTTCTCTTTTGGGAATACTGTGTCTAATAAATCACATAGATTTACGTGTTGTAGAAAATTTGGATAAACTTTTTAATGCTAGAATATATGCGTTATTATCATCAGCTGCCCATAATACTATAAATTTTATTCTTAGAGTAATGCTGCCCTCAGGAAAGCATTACTGGTTAAGCTGGGTATTGTAGCACACACTTGTAATCTCAGCACCCAGGAAACTGAGGCAGGAAGAGTGCTGTGAGTTGGAGGCCAGCCTGGGCTATATAGTGAGACCCTGTCTCAAACAAATGAACCAACAAAGGATAACTGAAGATAAATCTTGATAAAACTTAAAGGCAGGTTATTTGAATTATACTCATTCATTGTTTTGGGGTGGGTTTTTTGTTATACTCATTCATGGTGCCTCTTAATGATACATTCTTAGAAATGCCATGTTTTTACTCATCGTTATGCGGTGATCTTACAGTTTGTTTGCACAAACCCTAGCTACTATAAGTCAACTACTCAGAGTTATCTCTTGAACGATAATCGTGAGATTTATGAGGCTGCCACGAGTACAACACAGGCAGTAAACTTTTTATAGCAAATGTTTTTTGAGACAAGGTTTCACTGTAGTTTAGTCTTTCTTTTAACTAAATATGTAGCCCTTCTTGGTCTCGAACTCCTGGTGATCCTCTTGCCTCAGCCTCCAGAGTGCTGAGACTACAGTTGTGCATCACCATACATGACCTTTTCAGAAGTAAAAGGAAAGGTCCAGGGAGATAGCTCAGTGGGTTAAGCATCTGCCCGGCAAGCACAAGGTTCAGAGTTTGATCCCTACTACCACACAAAAACAAAGAAGTAAAAGGAGTATACTTGAGAATAATAATAGAAAGTATAATAAATATGTAAACCAGTAACATAGTCATCATTACAAGTATTATGTGCCGTAGATAATTATATATACCATACTATCCTTTCACATAAGTGTTTATGAATCACAAATACATGAGTGATGTGGTCAGTAGATAGTGGTGTGACATAACTAGGCAATAGAAATGCTACAGGGCTGGTGAGATGGCTCGGTGGTCTAAAGCACCTACTTAGAACAAGCTTAGCAAAAGTCACAGGGACCGTGGTTCAATCCCCCAGCACCACATGCCAGCCAGCCCCGCCCCCTGGTGGACTGAGTGCGCGCGTGCGTGTGCACACACACACACACACATATAAATAAAATTTAAAAAAAAAATAGAAATGCTACAAATAGTAAATACAGTCATAAAGCCCCCAAACAGTGACATAGTCAACACTGGGCCACAACAGTAATCCCCTGGGATGATAATGAAGCTAAATTTAGGCTTAAAAACTCACAACTGGATGTTGTGGTATGCACCTGTGATTCCAGCACTGTAGAAGCATAAAGCAGGAAGGTCATAAGCTTGAGCCCATCATAAACAATTTAGGAGACCCTGTCTCAGGCAAATGAGGGGGCAGTGGCTCCAGCCCCAGCACTGCAATCAGTAGATGAAAAATGGGCACGTCTTATACCCTCTTCTTCTTTTACACCACTAAATCCCAGCACTGTTCCCAGTTGGTGTATCTCAGATCTCTTCCCACAAACATAAAAAATACAAGTAAAAGGTGACAAACTAGGAAGTACAGATTCATGTCTGTTATCCATGCCATTTGGAATAAGGATTTTTTTTTTGCTCCTCGAATGCCTTCAGGGCACTTTTGGCTGGCTGGAGTGTTGTGGGGATCGAACTACAGCAACCTGAGGCTGACAGCTTTGTGGAAACAGCCATTTCAAGAACTGAGCTAGGGCCAGCCCCCCCTCCCCCTTTTTTTTTAATCCATGCCATTTGGTCAGCTAAGGAAAAAAGATTGAAAGATTCAGGCAAACCTCCACTTGTACTGAGACCTTATTATAGTGAGATCCTATCTCAAAATAAAAAAGGTAGAACAGCCTGATAGTAGCTCAGCATTACCTGGATTGAGTCCCCAGTGGGAAGTAGAAGCAGAATAACAGAAAATGAGATTGTACCATACAGCTACACTTGGTCAGTACTGTCTTAAAAGTTTTGTCTTTGTTTTGGGGCTTTTTTTTTCCCCCATGCCAATTCTTTATAATGGTCTCACTTTTAAAGCTATATGGTAAAAAATAACAATAAAAATATAATCTAACCCCCCCAAAAAAAGCTATGTGGTGTTCCATTTTGTTGGACATATTTTTCTTTCTGTTGGTGAACCTTGGAGTTTTCATATCTCACTCTTAGAAACAAAGATACATGTGTGAAAAAATGTGAGAAATGCCATTAGCCTTTAGAGAAATTCAGGTTAAAACCAGTGAGACCCAGGATGACTCACCTCAGGCCGGGGAGATGGGGCCTGAGTTCAATCCCTTGTTCCACAAAAAAGACAACAGTATGACTCGCCTCTTAAGATGACTAAAAAGGCTGCATATTAACTGTAGCAAATATTGTTGGTGAGAGAGTAGATGGATTAGAACCCTCGTAAACCTTGGTGGAATGTAAAATTGTGTAATCACTTAGAGAAACAGTTTGGAAATTTCTTAAAAAGTTAAACATGTTCAGGGTTGGGGAGATGGCTCAGTAGAATAAGCGCTTGCCTGGTAAGCGTAAGGACCTGAGTTCAATCCCCAGTTCTGCCAAAAAAAAAAAAAAAAAAAAGTTAAACATGTAGGTACCATAATTTCTACTTCTATAGATTGGCCAAGGAGTAAAGGAAATAAAAGTCTACAAGAAGTTTTTTACAGATGTTCATAGCAGCTTTATTTGTAATAAGGCAAGACTGGAAACAACCTGAGTGTCTTCCTACAGATAAATGGACAGATGCATTACTTTATGTATAATGGAATATTAACAATAAAAAGGAATGAATTTGGTGTAACCAGCAGGATAAATTAACATCAAAACAGTTACAGTTACACTTGGGCCGGCCAGATAGCTCAGCAGACTAAAGTGCCTGCTTAGGCAGACGCAGTGGCTGGGGTTTGATCCTGGCATCTCATGCTGGCCCCAACCCTGGGGTGCTGAGACAGCAATTTGAACTGGGCGTAGTGGCACATGCCTATAATCCCAGCACTTGGGAGGCTAAAAATAGAATCACTACAAGTCCTATTTACGTAGTGAGACCCTGTAGACCCTGTACTAGATACATTTAAAAAATAAAACCAGTTATACCAAACGAGAAATAATAGGTTAAAAGTATATGATATGACTCCATTTATATAATACTGCAGGGAAAAAGCAAACTAAAATGGAAAAAAAGATCAATATTTGAGGTTGAGGGAAGGAGAACTCTGAGGAACAAAAAGTGATAGGTTCAATTTGTTTATTACTTGATTTTGGTTTCCTAGTTGCATAGTATCTGGAGTCATTAGATAAACTTTGTTTATCTTATTTTTTAAATTTCAGTGCAATTTTTAAAAAGTTGCACTGAGGCACAGTAAGCATAATCTTAAATAGATATAAATATTTCTCTAAGACAGGGTCAACAGGGTTTACAGTTTGAATTTACATTGACACTGGCAGTTTGCCCTTAAAATACTATATGGTGGTACCCACCTGAATCCTAAGCACTCAGGAAGTCGAGGCAGGGGGAATCCCTGAGAGTTCGAGGCCAGCCTAAACTGGTTAGCAAGACTCTCAATAAGCAGATCATACACACACACACACACTGCGAAAGTGCTCATTTCTGCTGTTTTCTCAACATTGGGTGGTTAATCGTCGTTTTCTTACATTTTTACCTGATAGGTGAAATGATGTTGCTAATTTGATTTTTCTTTCTTTAGTGTAGTTGATGATCTTGCATTTCTTGATTATTTGTATCTGTGATTATCTGTGAAATGTCTTTGTTCAATTGTCCGTTATCCTTTCCTTTTAAATCTTCAATTATTTATATAATGCATATTTCATGCAGTTATTTAGGATGCTAAAAAATGATTTAATAAGTAAATGAATTTATATATTTTTCCAGTTATATTTTAACTTTACATAGACTTGAATGCTTTAGTTAGTATTTCTGTATTGGGGTCTTTAATGGCACCAGAAATGTTCTGTATACATTTTGTTCTCCTCTTCCTGACCTGTTCAGTCTTTGAGCCTTAGTGTTATCCATCCAGCTAGGGATATAAGTTGTAGGTAGAAAGTGTCAAAGGGACAAGTGTAGGGGCAGGTAGAGTGTAATTTTATATTTGTTTTGAATCATTTCCCATCATTTGATTTTTAGATAGTGTGCAGCCCATATTGATCTGTGGTCCTTTTACATGTGTGTGCGGGCACACGCATGCACACACACACACACAGAGTCTTCTAGTTGACCTGAGTTGTAGGTAGGGATTCTTCTATACCAGTGGTGGTGAGCCTGTGGCACATGTGCTGCTGCAGTGGGCTATTTGTAACATTGAACACTCCTAAAAGGTTTGCCATCACTGTCCTACAGTTTGCAAGTGAACCCTTAGCCAGTAGACATGACCACAGGATAGACAGGTGTCCTTTATTTGTCCCCCCAGATAGCCTCCTCTTGCCTTTAACCCTTCAGGTTTGTGGCATGGCACTTTTTTAAGGGAATGGGGGAAAATTTTCCTATTTATGTTTTAGGATCTTACTGTGTTGTGATATGTTGGGAGTTCCTGCATTCTGATTCTGATCATCTTCCTATTGGTCTAGTTCTACTTAAATTGTTTTGTTTTGTTTTTGGCAGAACCAGGGATTGAATTCAGGCCCGTGCGCTTGCCAGGCAAACATTTATTTCTACCTGAATTTAATGTCCATAGTTTCCTCCAAAGTCTGCACTGTGATGCCACTATTTGTGCTTCACTGTTGTGATAATAGTCGTACTTTAGGAAGCATGTGTTCAGTTTTGTTTTTAATCAGAAATACCCTTCCATAAGAAATAATCTAGGGGTAAGGGTGTGACTCAGAGGTATTGGCCTACCATGTGTAACATCCTGGGTTCCTTTCCCAAAACTGGAAAAAAGAAAGAAAAAAAAAATCATCTGATCTCTCACTGGAGAGGCAATTAAAAGGGCAGGTGTGGATGCAAATAGAACAATAAGTAGGTTATGATTAACAGCAGTTTGACCATCTCAAATGGAATAGTCCAAAATTTCAACTTATGGTAAATTTCATACTTAGATAGTATCTTTTTACACTTATATATGTATTTTCTTGTTCAGTCATCCCAGTTCTGCGGTGTAGGTAAATACATTAAAGATAAGAAACAGACATTTATTTTTGAAAGCAGCCCAGAATCGCGGTTCTGGGTCCTCTGACCTTTTCCTACTGCCTCAAAGTTTAAAACAGGTTCAGATTTCCTGTTGTCTATCCCTTTTCTGGTGAGCGCAATAAAGGGCCTTTTATGTCAAATCAAAAGGTTTTGTGTGACTACAAGAACTTTTCATAGCTTACAGTCTCGGATGTTAACGTTTTCGTTAGGGTGAGTGAGTGTAGCAGGACTGTGGACATTGAAGTAGAGAAAGGGAATGTAGGGACGAAAGATACTGATAGGCCCTGCAGCAATTTTAAGAACAGGCAAAAAATCAGCATGTCAGAACTCTTTTCATAATTGTATATAGGATTTTGTGAGTCATTAGGTTTTTCCTTAAGCAATTGTATATTGTATAATATATAGATTTAGTCATATAAACTGTACTATATATAAGTTCTCAAAGGAGTTTGAAGAGGCAACAGCTAGTTGAATTTGACATTGGATAATCCATTAGCTTATTAGTAAATTGTGAATATGAACACAGATACTAATAAACTCAATAACTTCTGCTTTAATCAAAGCAAATTTATCCTTGTCTTCTTTCTCTTCAGTTGGAAGATGCTGGCTCAAGTAGTTTAGATAATCTGCTAAGTAGATATATCTCAGGCAGTCACCTACCCACACAGCCTACAAGCACCATGAATCCTTCCCCAGGACCCTCTGCTCTATCTCCAGGATCATCAGGTAAAAGCAAACCAGGATATAGCCTCATTTCTTTACCACATTTAAAAATTTTTTTTTCTTAATACCTGTTATTCAGGGTTTTCCTGAAAAACAGAAGCAAGAAGGAGGTATGCAGAGGGGTGTTATGTGCATGTGTACATGTATGAAACATAAGTTTATCTCAGAATTGACTCACATGATTATATTGTTGTGGGTGATCAGTTCCCAGATTTAAAGGCAAATTGGCAGACTGGAAACCTATGTAAGAATGATGTTATAATCTTGAAGTTCAGAGTCTGGTATTAAAATTCCTGCAGGAGAGGAATAGAAACAGCTCCAACTTTCAGGATCTTAAGGTGTTAGATTAAGGCTACTGACACTGTAAAGGATAATGAATTTACCTCAGTCTGCAGACTTAAATGTTCATCATACCTAAAACATTTAGCATGCTTTTGAATTACATTAGAGGTTTAATAAGAATAATTCCAGGAGTTCTAAAAAAGAATAATGGGAATCTTAAGTAGAATAGTTCGTCTCATGCCTTGAGGAATGGCAGCTCTCTTGATCTGGTAGTTTTGTTGACTGGATTGTATTATTCTAAAGAAGATACTAAGGTGTCTGGGATGTACATTCCTGACTTTGCTACTAGCTCTGATGTCTTAAGAATTTCTGAATTGGGGGGCTGGGGAGATGGCTCAGTAGGATAAGCGCTTGACTGGCAAACACAAGGATCTGAGTTCAATCCCCAGTTCTGCCAAAAAAAAAAAAAAAAAAGAATTTCTGAATTGGGTATAGTAGTCTTGAATTGTGAACATTTCAAACATTGGTTGATATTCAATTTGTCTGTTTTTAGGTTTATCCAATTCTCACACACCTGTGAGACCTCCTAGTACTTCCAGTACTGGCAGTAGAGGCAGGTAAGTATTATGTTATTAAAAGTGTTATTTTTTTAAAGAAAAAAAAATTTTAGTAAAAGTAGACTACAACCTCCCATATGTTTGACCCTGTTCAAGGATGATTAAATTATGAGCAATCTTGTTTCCTTTATATACCTTCTTTGTCTGTTCCTTCTTTGTCTTGTCCTTTTTCTTTCTTTCTTTCTTTTTTTTTTTTTTAATGTATTTGATACAGGGTCTCACATTGCGGCTCAGACTTGCAGTGATCCTCCTGTATTCGGCCTTCCCAGTGCTGGGATAACAGGCGTGTGCCACCATGCCTGGCTCAGCACGCTCAAATGTGGGGCCAGCGCGGCATGTGCTACCATGGAACCCCAGTCCCTGCACCTGGCTAAAGCAGCTGCTTAGACTGCTGAGTTATCTCGCCAGCCCATTGTCACTTTCTATCCTATTTGTGTCTGTTTGCTTGCCTGTTCGTTTGATCATGTATTTTTATCAGGAGTTTAACCAAAGACCTTGCATGTGCTAGGCATGCACTCTGCTACTGAGCTACATGTTTAGCTCTTTTATTTTGAGCCAGGAGATCATTAAGGTGCCTAGGCTGACCTGAAATTTGTAATCCTCCTCCTGCCTCAGCCTCCCAAGTAGCAGGGATTACAGGTGTGTGTCACTATACCCAGCAACAATAAGAAATGTTAGTAGCTGGGCATGGTGGTCTATAATCCCAGCACTTGGAGGGCTGAGGCAGGAGGATTACTTTAAGTTTGAGGCCAGCCTGGGCCCATAATGAGTTCAAGGCCACTACTTTTTAGATGTTTGAGGAGATTGAGAAGAATTGAAGTTAGTAAGAGAAGTAGTCATTGACATTTTATACTGTAAATTGAATGTCCCTAGTCTGAAATCTGAAATGGTCCAAAATACAAATACTGAATGTCAACATGAAACCAAAAGTAGAAAATTCTAGTTGCACATGACCTCTTGGGGTAGGCCTCAGTAAAATGCAGGGTACACTGAAAATATGTAAAATTACTTTCAAGACTATATGTTTTAGGGGCTGGGGAGATGGCTCAGTGGAATAAGTGCTTCCCTTGTAAGCTTAAGGGCCTAAGTTCAATCCCCGGTTCTGCAAAAAAAAAAACTCTATGTTTTAAGTTGTATAGGAAGCTTAAATCTCATGTTTAGATGGGAGTCACATCCCCAAGGCATTTCATTATGTAAGTTACAAGCACAGTGACACCTCAGTTCATGAATTTAATTTATTCCATAGTTCTCTGGAAAGGATGGCTGTGTCTGTGTTTGTGTGGGAAAGACGGCTGTGGTTATGTTTATCACCTGATGCTAAGTTTGTAGACCAAAACAAAATTTTGCCCAGTGTTTCTGTTTCTGAACCAAATTGTTAACACAAGCACTCCAGAATCAAGGTAGCAGTGAATTTTTCTTTTTCTTCCTTTTTTTTTTTTTTTTTCCTGCAGAACCAGGGATTGAACTCAGATCCTTGTGTTTGCCAGTCAAGCGCTTATCCTACTGAGCCATCTCCCCGGCCCCAGCAGTGAATTTCAAAAGCAAAAAGAATCTGATAATTAAAACAGTTCTAACACCAAGACTTTGAAGTGAAATTACTCAACCTATAATTGGCCTGGGGAAATGATTGTTTACTAAAGTCCTAAATGATTTATTAAAAGTTCTTCAGACCACAAAATTTAGTGTTTAATTTACGTTTTTAAAGAAATTTGAAGCTAGGCTACACTTTGGCATTATGAGGCATTGTTACCTTTTATAAAGTAATTGTCTTCTCTTTAATAAACACTATTCTTAATTTGTTTTTTTATACCCTACAATCAAACATGGGGCCTTTTATTTGTTGTTTTTCGCCAGCTGTGGGTCCTCAGGAAGAACTGCTGAGAAGACAGGTCTTGGTTTCAAATCTGATCAAGTGAAAGTCAAGCAGGAACCTGGGACTGAGGATGAGATCTGCAGTTTTTCAGGAGCTGTGAAACAGGAAAAGACTGAGGATGGGAGGAGGAGTGCCTGTATGGTGAGTTCCCACTGTGGCCACTTCGCTGATCTTCCCCCTCAGAGTATGTTGAAATTGACTGGAGCTTCTAGGAATATTTGTCTTTGAATTTTTATGCTTGATACAAGCAAAATACCTTTTTCTGACTCAGTTTTTTGGTCTGAGAGGCAGGTATACTTTATTAGAAGGACCTTTGTGAAGGTAATGCAGTTTAATGCATGAGTTACTTATTTAAATGATCTTTGAATTTTATTTAATTTTTTTTCATGATAGTAAATTGGGTGCTATCTTATTTTGAATTCAATAGTTATTTCAGTATTCAGTGGATCTCAGGCCATAAGAATTCCTTAGCTATTACTGTTCCTCATCTCTGAGCTCAACATTAAATCAGCTGTTAAAAAGTTCATTGATGAGGCTGGGGAGATAGCTCAGCAACCTAAGCATCGGTCTGGCGGCATAAGGACCATGCCACGAACAGGAGTGGTAGCCCACGCTTGTAATCTCGGCGCTGGGGAGGCTGAGACAGGAGGATCACTAGAAGTCCGAGCTGCGTAGCAATACCCTGTAAGAAACAAACAAATGAATAAAATCATTGATCAAAACTTTGGGATAGGAAGATTGCCTTTTTGGCTTATGAATTGTTAACTGTTTTAGAGTTCCTTGGTTGGGATATTTTATAAATTATGTAATACAGAATGTGGAAGGCTGAAGCCCTTCTTCCTTTGAAAATCGGGATGTTTATATTTTTCTTCTTAATCAGGCTTCAGTTGTACTTTTTACATGGTTGACACATAAGAATTTCATTTCAGACTAATAATGTATTCACTGTGGTAAATACAGATTTAGAGATCAACAGATTTAGCCTTGGTTTTAGAGGAGTGTCACCCCTTCCTCCAAAACCTTCTCTGGAAAGTACCCTCATAAAAATGGACATGTGGGTGGTAAAATACTTATAAGATTCATTTTACATAATCACAATTTTCCTATGTTGGTCAGATGATAGAAGGATGTAAGGGAATTCATTTTCATTTTCTCTCTTTTTTGGTCATACTGTAGATTGAACCCATGTTATAAAAATGCTCTAACCATTGAGCTACATCTCCAGTGTATGCACACTCCTTAATATTTGTAAGTTTTTCACTAAGTTGACTGGGTTAGCCTCACACTTGTCTGTAGTCTTGCAGGTATTGTGACTTGAAGGTATGTGTCACCATACGTGACCAAAATGTTCTCTAATGCTGTAGAGAAGATTCTGGTTAGAAAAATAAAGCACTATAATTATCTCTGTATATTAATGTGCCTAAATAATTTGGGAGTTATTTCTAAACACACACTGCATACAGTAAAGACTAAATGATTTTTCAAGAATTTGTTTTTGTTTTGTTTTAGTTGAGCAGTCCTGAGAGTAGTTTGACACCGCCTCTGTCAACCAACCTGCATCTAGAGAGTGAGTTGGATGCATTAGCAAGCCTGGAAAACCATGTGAAATCTGAGCCTACAGATATCAATGAAAGCTGCAAGCAGTCAGGGCTCAGCAGTCTAGTTAATGGAAAGTCTCCAATTCGAAGCCTCATTCACAGGTCAGCGAGGATTGGAGCAGACGGCAACAGCAAAGATGATGACCCAAATGAAGACTGGTGTGCTGTCTGCCAAAATGGAGGGGATCTCTTGTGCTGTGAAAAATGTCCAAAGGTCTTTCATCTAACTTGCCATGTCCCAACACTTCTTAGCTTTCCAAGGTACCAGTGAAGTAACTGATACTGTTATGTTATTTTCATAAGCTAAAAAACCCCAGAGATTTATTGGAAAAAATGACCTTCTTAATCAATGTACAGTATTTCTTTGTATAAAACAGTTATTTCATTGATATTCATTTTCAGAGAAACTCTTAATAGAATGATAAAATATCCAAAATCTAATTGAACATGATGATAGGTCTCCTCTCCTAGCCTTCACTTCATATTTAGTGTAAGCAACTTAGATAAAACACTTAAGAGTTGTGAGGAGGTAGGGTCAGTGTGCTGAGAAAGTCTTGTTTTTTGTTGATTAGAGGGCGTTGTGTGCTAGGGATCATACTCAGGGCCTTGTACGTGCTAGGCAAGTGCACTACCACTGAGCTGCACCCTTCTCCTCAGAGATTAAAGTTTATAAATCTGTTACTATCTTTATAATGATTTGTGACTGTTATTTATTGTACAATTAATGACTATAATTTATTTATGACTGTAGTTTAATTTGAGATCATGCCCAAAACTTAACTTTTCTAAAGTTTAAAAGCTTTCAGAAAGTATTTTAAAGGAAAAAACATCTTTCATAAAAGTGCCTTCATTAGGTCTTAGGATTTCTTTGTAGTTTCCTCTTTACATTGGAAACAGTTCATTGGTACTGTCTCTTTAGCACTGAAGATTTTTCAGATTTTTCCTTTTGTCAGCTAGTAGAATGTCTTTACATTCAGTAATTTTGAGGTGGACAGTTACCAAATTCCTTTTATAGGTGAAAAGAATATGGGATAAGATTGGGGGGAAATATGTGCTTTGTCTTCAGACTGACTTTGTCACTAAAAAATATGGTTTTAAACTTTAAAATATTGATGGTTGAGCACCCAAGGTAAGCTGATGATAGCAGCTAGTAAAGTAGAACAAATGCAGTGGTCCAGCTAAGTCAGGAAACCTGGTCTTATAGTCCAGCACTTTGGAAACTAAAGTAGAACTGCTGTTTGAGGCCAACCTGAACTACAAAACAAGACTCTCTCTCACAAACAAATAAAAAACTTTTAATCTGGTTGTAATTTTATAGTGAACAGAGAGGCAGCTCACTAATTTTCAGATATCAGTGCCCTATGTCTATAAGCAGTAAAGTTTGGGGTTTTGTTTAAAAGAAATCTGTGTTTCCTCTAGTTCAATCCCCAGTACCGAAAGAAAACTAGTATATAAAACATAAACAGGGATTGGGAATATAGCTTAGTGGCTCAAATGCCTGCCCAGCAGGTACCAGGTACTAGGTTCAATTCCTGGTGCCAGAAAAGAAAAAAACAAGCTTTTGAGGCAGGTGTCGTAGCACATGCCTATAATCCCAGCACTCGGAAGGCTGAGGCAGGAGGATTGCTGCAAGTTCAAGGCCAGCCTGGGGTACATAGTGAGTTGAAGGCCAGCCTGAACTGCATAGCTAGACTCTGTTTTTGTTTTTCTTTTTTAAAAAACCAACATAAACAATGCTAGAATGTTTTTCTGAATTGTAATTAACTGAATCTTAGAAGGTATAATAATTTTGCTAGAAATATAAAAGGCTTCTTTTCCTTTACTTCAGGAAAAAAAAAACATTGGCACTTTGGTCTTGAAATTTAAGCTTATGATTTTTTTTTTTTTGCGGAACCAGGGATTGAACTCAAACCCTTACACTTGCTAGAGAAGCGCTTACTCCACTGAGCCATCTCCCCGGCCCCATGAAATTTTTCTTTCCTTGAAATTTAAGCTTATGAAATGTAACATCTGGTACATCGGGATTTTGTCAATGAATGGTTTAACAACAGATAATTGTGGAAGGAACTATAAAGTATTGATGCAGACTAGTTGATGACAATATTTAGATTTTGTAATGTGTACATCTATATAGATGTGTATATCTGTTGAGTGTGTGGAGAGGGGAAAAAAGTATAATTAAAGTTATTTTGGAGGATTTTTTTTTTTTTTTTTTTTTTTTTGGTCTTTCTGAGTCCAGGTTTCACTGTGCAGTTCATCTGCTCTAGAACTCACTTTGTAGCTCAAGCTGTCCTTGAACTCATGGTGGTCCTTCTGTCCCAGCCTTCTAAATGCTAGAATTAAAGTTTGTACACCCACACCAGCTCTGAAATTTCAAATTTTATAGAAACCCTGATAAAAACAAAGTATAGAAGTTACAGAGAGTTTGTACTACATATGCTTGTACCTTGCAGGTATGTGTGTGTTCTGTTTTCTGACTACATGAAAAATGACTGAATTTATTGTTGGCATTTTTGAATGGGATTTCCAGTCCTTTTTAAGGAGTCTCCACACTGATTTCCACAATGGTTGCACCAGTCTACATTCCCACCAGCAGTGGAGAAGGGTTCCTTTTCCCCACAGCCTCTCCTGTTGACCTTTTTAACTTAATGCTGCATGTTAAATACATATCAGACAGCACAAGAGATCTCAGGAACTCTATATCCTATATACTCTTTAAATTTTCCATACTTTCTATATTTTTGTTTGTTTGGTTTTTATTTATTTAGCATTTTACAGCACAAGCTTTATAAGGAAGAAAACATATTTGCCCATTGTACCGTCCAGCAGAACCCAGGTTCTGGGGCTCTTGGTCATAACAATCCTCAGTGAAGGCTTCAAGCTTTGCCTCTTAATACATTTTCCAGGGTTCTGTTTACTTGATCAGCACTGAAGTTGTTCAAGGAGACATTCTTCACCAAATGCGTGGCGGGCCCACAGTTTGGGCTGAACATCAGAACATTCGCGGATTAGAATGGGAAGGTCAGGGTTCGCCTTCTTGAGCTCCACATAGCGTTTTTCGATGCAGTCCCTCACACCCTGGCTGCCTGGCGAGCGCTGACATAAGTGGATGCGAATCTCACGCAGACCCAGCTTTGCTCCAACCACACTACCAGCCACAGCCACCACCGTCGCTGTCTCCAGTTAGTGCTTAGATTCGAGTCCCTGACTTTCCAAGCAGGTTCTTGAGCCATGTTTGGTTTTTAGAGACAGTCTCACTGTGTAGTTTGTTTATTTATTTATTTATTTAGTTAGTTAGTTAGTTTTTTAGTACAGGGTCTCACTACACAGATCGGATTCGCAGTGATTCTCCTGTTTTCAGCTTTCCAAGTGTTGGGATTACAGGCGTGTGCCACCATGCCCAGTCTCAGTCATTGTCTCATTGTGCCCTGGGGGCGGGGCTGGCAAGGCATCCTGGGGATCAAACCCCCATCCACTGCGCTTTAGTCTGCTGAGCTATCTGGCTGGCCCCACTGTGTAGTTTAGTCTGTCCTTGAACTGACTATGTAACCCAGGCTGGCCCCTGAATTGATGTGAACCTCATGCCTCAACCTGTAGGATTCTAAATTACAGGCATGTGCCACCACGCACAGCAACTCTTTGGCTTTTGGAGACAGTTTCACTGTCAGTTCAGGTTGGCCTTTAACCTCACCATCCTCAGCTCCCTGAGTTCTGGGATTATAGGTATGCATAACCACACTTAGCTCCCACACTCTTCTATAATATGGAAATTAGGTTCACATGATGATGTTGCAGAGGCCTGAAAGAATTGGTTTTAGGCCTTGTGCTGCAAGTAGTGATGATCATCTTTGTATTCTGTTCAGTAGAGGCTATTTTATATTTTTCTACAATATAATCACTTAGCAATACCTGGGAAAAAGTTCAGGAAGTTTTTATCACACAACTTAAAAAGATTTGGCAAGTATAAAATTTCCCTTTCCTTAAAAAAAATTGGAAATCAAATGAAACAAACCTAGAGACTTGAGTATAGAAAACTACCCTTTTTTTTTTTCCCTTTTTAGTGGGGACTGGATATGCACATTTTGCAGAGATATTGGGAAGCCAGAAGTTGAATATGATTGTGATAATTTGCAACATAGCAAGAAGGGGAAAACTGTACAGGGATTAAGCCCAGTGGACCAAAGGGTAAGTGTCGAGTAAGTTGATTTGTATTATGGATTGTGTAGTTATCTGCCTCTGTATTTCTCCCTTGTATAATATACCCATAAACTGATACAGTTTCACTTCTCAGGTAGTATATTGATGACTTCTAAAATCTTTGTTTAGTCCTGGGCTAGAGACTTTTAGATTCAGCTTCTTCAAGCTTAACATGTCCCAACAAAAATCTTGATTTTTTTTAGTCATCCTCAAAAAGCAGGCCATTAGCTGGGTGTGGTAGCTCATACCTGTAATCCTAGCACTCAGAAAGCTGAGGTGGGAGCATCGCTGAGAGTTCAGGGTTGGCTGGAACTACATTGTGAGACCCTGTCTCCAAATAAACCAAGAAATCAGCATTAACAACTGTATGCCTGTCTTCATTATTAAATGACAGTGCCATTCACCTTTTCTTATACTAGAAACTATTAGGAATAAGGCCTGCCTGGCGTCATTTTCTTACTGCTCCCCCCACTACTACCCTAGACACTCATCATAATCTCTTATCTGAACTATTGTAATCATAATTTCATAACTCTTCTCCCTGTTTATACTCTTTAGTTTTTTTTTGGGGGGGGGGTTGGGGGTTTTTTTGTGTTTGTAATTTGAACAGTCTTTTCTTTTTTATTTTTTTTGGTACCAGGAGTCAAACTCACAACCTCACACTTGCTAGGCAGGCAATGTGGCACTGAGCTATATCCCCAGCCCTGTTCTCTTTTTTAAAAGAAATGAACAAATAGATCACTTCCTTGCTTAAAATCCTTTAATAGCTTTTCACATTAAAAATGAAATTCAAGATCCTTTCCTCACTTCAGAGTTCTGTTTGATTTATTCTTTGGTCTGATTTTAATGACAAAATGTCTTTCACATAGTTCTGTAGTCACTGTAGTTTAGTTTAACTCTAATATGTACTTGAAAACTCTTCCTCCACTATCTATAAAGAGTAGATGTTTTTAGGATATACAAACTTACATTAAAAGGGAGTTGAAGCTGAGTATGGTGGCAAATACCTGGAGTGCCAGCACTCGGGAGCCAGACGTAGGAGATACAAGTTCAAGACTACCTGGGCTATGCATAGCAAATCGCTGTCTCAAAAGAATTTTTTTTAATGTTTTGAATAAATAGAAATTGACAAATGTAAACTGCATTTCAAATTACTGATCGTATAAGAAAGATTGTTTTTAATTGTGTAGAGAGAATAGGGTTTTTATTTTGAGCTCGATTGTATGGAGTCATTGGAAGAAAGGTTATTACATTTGTCTCACCTGCCTCAGAGAATTATGGTGAGATACAGCAGTAATAATTTATTACCAGGTAAGCTATAAGTTTTTCACAAAGTGCTGTGTATTACTTTTGATTCCCTTCCACTTGAATAAAAACCAAGAATAAATAATAAACAGAAGCACACTTATTTAAAATAGAACTGAACATAGTCTCAAATGAGAAGCAGGATGGTTTTGAGTTTATGTGTATAGCTAGATAACTAGTCTAGTGTATATAAGGCTGATAGTTTGATGTGATATTTGTAATATCATTCTTACCCTCAAGAATATTTTCTTAAAGATCAAAATACTTTGTGTCTTCTTACTTTTTTTGGACCAGAAATGTGAACGTCTTCTGCTCTATCTCTATTGCCATGAATTAAGTATTGAATTCCAGGAGCCAGTTCCTGCTTCGGTGAGTTGGACTCAGTACTGCCTATCTCCCTGGTAAAGTCAATGTGTAATACTTGAGTATGAATGTTGGCCTTTGACTGGGTCTGTGTTAAAACACATATGTCCTCAATGAGCTCCTCAACCTCTGTGAGACTTAATACCCACCATCTCATTTTTAAAATTGTATTTATTGACAAATAATTGTGTATATTGCTAGGGTACAGTTTGATGTTTTGGTCTATGCACACATAGATCAAGCCAAAGTGCTATGTATTACTCAGTCACAAAGTGCTAGGTGTTACTTTTGATTCCCATAGACTGACTACGTAGCACTCAGTCAAGCCAATTAATACATATCCATCACCTCAACAATTTAGCTTTTTTTTTTGTAGTGCAACTATTAATTCTTCTTTGCAAAAATAAATCCTTTAGCTTTGAAATACATCAGTATTAACTGTGACTACCATGAATGCTATAGATGCAGATTACTAAACTTTATCCTCCAACTGGACTGAAATTTGATGCCTTTCCATCAGCACCTACTTTTGCCTTCTTTCCCCCATCTCTAATAATCATTCTTCCTCTTCCCCTTCCCTTTTTATTTTGTGTTTTATTTTTTAAGACTGGGTCTCACTATGTAGTTCAGGCTCCAGGCTGGCCTTGAACTCTTAGTGGCCCTCCTGTCCCTCCCTCCCTCCATTCTTTTCTTCCTTGTACATATTCTGGAGTATGTGATGATAATTGGGTATGTGTGTGTACATTATATAATGATTCTGATTCTGTTTCTTAATCTCATTGGGTTATTCCCAAGATTATATAAAATAGTGTAAAGCCCTTAGGATAGTACCTGGTAACACAGCAGATATTTATTTATTTATTTTATTTATGGAACCAGGGATTGAACTCAGACCCTTGTGCTTGCCAGGGAAGCGGTTATTCCACTGAGCCATCTCCCCAGCCCCACAGATATTTATTATTTAACCAGAAGTTTTATGAGAGCTGAAGTTTGTTTTGTTTTGTTTTGTTTTTGTACCGGGAATCTTAACTCAGGACCTTGCACTTGGCAAGCAAGTGCTGTGCCATGGAGGTATATTCCCAGCCCTCATTTGTTAAAATTAAAGTTTGTTTGAAGACATTTTGTTGCTTTGATGAGGACTGAATATAATTTGTGTGCTCTTTTTTTTACTTTTAAGGTCAATGTAAAAGAAACAATCATAGTGGAAACAGTATTGAACTAGAAATCAGAAAAACCTATTCTCATGGTTCTGCCATGAACCAACTTTATAAATAGGCAAATTACATACTTTTCTGCCTTTTTTAGCTTTGTAATGGTGTTTGGCTAAATTATTTCTAAGATTCTAGTTCTGTTCTGTTTCATGGAAAAAAAAATGATCTCTATGTAAATATTGAATAAACATGTACAACTAAGTCTGTCTCACTGACTTTGCTGTTACAAGCCTTGTTGCACAGTCAAGATTTAAAAATGACAGCTGGGAAATTTTGCAAGTCAATACTATTTGTATATCCTATAGGTGAAGTTTTTAAGTGGTAAAGTCGCTAAAATATTATAAAGAAAAATCAGGGGCCGGGGAGATGGCTCAGTAGACTGGCAAGCGCAAGGGCGTGAGTTCAATCCCCAGTTCTGCCAAAAAATCCAACACTCTTAATTTCTATTAAATAGATGTAAAATACTCTAGACATGTTTCCTAGGCATCTGATACTAGATATTATTCCATACCAGAACTATTAAATAATAAATGGTTTCCTTGGTAGGCTGAGAAAGGAAAATTTTTTTGTCTATTATCTGGACAAAAAGTCTAGTTTGATGGATGATGTCTTATGTAAGTAGTAATTATCTGAATCTAGAAAGTCTGGTTCATCTTTTAAGTTCATGGATTTCATAATAAATGGCTTTTAAATGTTTTCATGGAACACTGTATTTAAATCAGTTCTCTGTATTATATCTCAAGTGCAAGAAGTTTTCAGCCAAAAATGAGATCAGAACACAGTCCTTCATTGTTGCTAAGCTACGGCTTCTCTGATGCACATATTTTCTAGATACCTTCTACAAGATGTCATGTTCTAGTTATGTCATTAATGCATGAGAAGTAATAAAATTTTGACGGGCCCAGTTTAGCCTAGCTGATTGCTTTCTTTCCAGATCTGCTTATTACAGACAGGACTTTTGGGACTTCTAGTAACCACGGAGACTAGCACATACTTTGCAAGATTTCATAATATGATTGGGACAAAGACTAAAGTGCATTCACTATGCCCAAAAAGCTGAATGATTTGCTGTGCATTTTCAAATTGAACAGTTTGGCATTTTGGAGAGCTCTGATCTACTCTTATTTGTTTTAGATACCAAACTACTATAAAATAATAAAGAAACCAATGGATTTGTCCACAGTGAAAAAGAAGCTTCAGAAAAAACATTCCCAACATTACCAAATTCCAGACGACTTTGTGGCTGATGTCCGTTTGATCTTCAAGAACTGTGAAAGGTTTAATGAAGTATGTTAGCTTCCAACCTATAGAGTTTTGGTGTGTTAGTTTTGTTTGCTTGTTTTGATTTTTGAATTTTGTTTTTCCTGCTGAATGAGTTTTCTGATTTGATTTAAATTTTTTCTGCTTCAATCCTATCAAAAGTAAAATTTGATTTTACTCACAGCTTCAAAGAAGAAAATTTACTGTGTATAACTTGGAGTATATACTTAAATGTAGTGTATTAAGAATTATTAGTGACTGTCCCTTCATAAGTTAGGTTAAATATGGAAAGTAGTCTGAAGTTAAGTAAACATTCTAGGAAAGGTATTTGCCAGTGTTCTAAGATTTTATTATTGACCACATACGTAATCTTAAAAATCTCAAGCTTATCTCTGGTGACTCATGTGGAATAGTAGCCAGAGTATAAGGTGAATTTTCTCATAGCAATGTGACTTTCGCTTACTTGTTTCTTGTTTTTATGTTTGAAGCTAAAGATGAGATATCATTCCTTGAGAAATGTGATATAGGGCCGGGGATATAGCTCAGGGGCACAGTGCCTGCCTGGCAAGTTCAAGTTTGGTTCCTGGTACAAAAAAAAAGAAAGGAAAAAAATGTGATAGATGCTTTTATCAAGGGAATTTTTTTATGTTTGGTATTGAATCTTACTGTTCTAGAAGATTTTCATTATAGGAGAAGAATTTTATGGATTCTCACCAAAATAGAATTGGGTGAGAATCCGTAAAATCTTCATACAGATTAATATTAAAATACTATATTGCTGATGAAATGTGGGTATCATATGACTATTACTAAAATAGGTCACAGTGAAACCATTAAAGTCTATCAACAGCTATCTTTGGAAGCTTCCAGGTGGCATTTTTCTTTTCTTAAAATTCTTGCCAGGTGTGGTAGCTCTTGTCTGTAATCCCAGTTCTTGGAAGCCTGAGGCAAGAGGATTACCACAAGTTTAAGGCCAGCTTGAGCTACATAGTGAGTTCAAGGCTAGCCTGAACTACATAGCTACATTCTGTCTCAAAAAACCTAAATAAGTAAATAAAATTCTTATAAGGTGAAAAGTTTATAGTCACTTTTATAGCAGTACACCAGAAAGTAAATTAAAAATTTAGAAAATAAACTTTTTGTCTCTTAATGCTACTATATGTTTTCAAATAAGTATGCTTTCATGAACTGTATATAGTTGACAAGGCTCATTTTAAAACCTGATCTTTGAACAGTTAAATAATTGTGGTTAACATGTTTCCCTAGGGGTAGAATTCTGATTGTTTTATGAAAATTGATGGTTTAAGATGAAATTTCTTTTATCATTTTATAAATCTTTTTCTTTTGAGTCAATATATATATTTAGACCAATTTCTACTAAGATTGACTTCCCTAATTTGGAATGAGACAACTATTGAGGTTTCTCAGAAGCTTTAGTAACAGAACTTTGTAAAGTGATTCTGTGTTCTATAAAGTTTTAGAGAGCATTTAATCTGGTTATAGCAATTTGTTCTCCCTAGTATGGTTGACTTTCGTCACCAATCCTATGCAGTTTTATAACTTTACAAAGGATTATAATTTCCCTTTTTTTTTTTTTGACTCTGGTATCCTTTTTAGATGATGAAAGTTGTTCAAGTTTATGCAGACACACAAGAGATTAATTTGAAGGTAAGCTTTTCAGACCATGCAAACTTGGTGAAGGAATATGCATTACCAATAGGTGAATATTCCTATCTTTTGCTTGCAGGCTGATTCAGAAGTAGCTCAGGCAGGGAAAGCAGTTGCATTGTACTTTGAAGATAAACTCACAGAGATCTACTCAGACAGGACCTTCGCACCTTTGCCAGAGTTTGAGCAGGAAGAGGATGATGGTGAGGTAACTGAGGACTCTGATGAAGACTTTATACAGCCCCGCAGGAAGCGCCTAAAGTCAGACGAGAGACCAGTACATATAAAGTAAAGTAACATGGACTTAAAAAAAAAAAAACAAAAACCAGGTGTTTAAAAAGGAAGAAAGAAAGCCTTTATTTAAGTGTTGCTGGAATATATCCTGCCTCTAGTGGGCAGCTCCTTGAAGAACCTGATAGCTTTTACACAGTATTAGATTGATATAATGGACAGAAGATATTCTTGTCAAGAAAGGAGAAGAGAATTCTGTTTGCAACTTTAAAGTAAAAACAAGAGAAAAATGACTTTTGAGGATTTGTTGCTAAAAAGGATGGTTCTTTGTTAGAAGTGGCAAATGTTGATGATCATGTGGTATTGATGGGTGCAGGATACTGGGTGTACAAGTACACAAGGCTCATGTTGCTTGATAAATTGTCTTTGGAGTAGCACACAGTTATTAAAAAATACATCTACTTCACACACATAACATACTGGGCGTTTTTAGTTTAAAAAGTAGCTCAGATTTCATTTAATCTCAGTGGAAATATGCATTGAATCATGCCATTATATTTTTTCTCATTTTCATATTCTTGAGAACTCAACTGTACTTTTATTTTCTATTTATACATATGATCTGGGAAATACAAACATTTGTTTTGCCCTCAGTGGTCTACTGACATAAAAGTGGCAACTTTTCAGTAGTAGATCATGTAGGGAGTTACAGTAGACATTTCCAGAAAATACTTTCACACAACTGAACTTCCCAATCAAATAATGTGATGATAACAGTTATTCCTGTGAAAGGCAGAATGTTTGTTTTAAAATTAGTCTTGTTTTCTGTATATTTAAATTTGATTGAGAAGGTGACAACTGGCTCTTATCCAGTCTTCCTTCCTAGCAGTTTTCTGATAGATTACTATTGGCAGACAGTAATCTGTCAACTACCAAATGTGTAAAATTTTCTGTATTTCACTTTGTCTTATTTGTAAATAATGAACTAAAACTTCTGGCAGATCAGCAACATTTGCTGAGGCTGTTTTTTAAGCTAATGTGTATTCTTACTAATGTTCCTATCAAGAATGGATTTGTAATATATGCTGTCTATTTCTAATGTTCACATTCATATTTTGAAGTTCTATCTTATTTTAATAGAGAACAGACTTCTCAAAATCTTCAGAAGCAGCTTATTATTGAAATATCAAAATAATGAAATAAACCCGGTGGGGTTAGATTACTCATCTGTCCACCAAGTGGGACATTTGCATGGACTGGGGGCTTAAAGAAGAGACCTGTAAGTAAATCCTGAAAATGAGCCGATCCCCACTTGAATGGTTGCTGGAGTAGACCCACCTCTTACTGCCCTGAGTACCGTACCTGAGGCAAATAGACCAACTTGGCTTTGGTTCATTTTTCTTCTCATTTGTGATCCTGACATTGAAGATGTGTATTCTAGACTGTGTACAGGCTTCTCTTCTGTTGGATTAAAATTATTAGTCCTCCTTTTGTATAGGCACATTAGACTATAAAGTGACCAAAATAGAGGAATTTGCCATTAGATATTTTTCAGACGTCAGCAGATTTGTGGCAAATCATTTGCCTTTTTAAAAAATTCAGCTAACCAGTTCAGACCATGAAATACTCAGAACATTACTTGACATATTTGTCTAAGAAGTAAATATTTTTTAGTGCATATTGAATCAAATAAAGTGCTCTAAAGAAATTATTATACAGATTCTTTTGGGTTTTCTTTTCCTAAGGGGTGGGAAATAAACAGGAATATGATTCAGACCTTTGAATGGTGTGCTTAAACAGTACTGATTTAATTAGTTCTTATTTAGTTTATCTTCTGATTTTCTTCTAGTTTTCTACTATAAATTAAGCTTTAAAACATTTAACAAGCTGTTTTATCATTTTACTGCAATTTCAAATTCCTCAGATTTTTTTTAAAGGGGGAAGAAAATAATTTTTAAATGCTTTTATCTGTCCCTCTTATCCACACCTGTGACTTCAGTTAATAAGTAGAAAGTAGACACGTATCTAAGGGCAGTTTCGGAAAGTGAAGAATAGCAGTCTGACTTCATTTTGTTAAGCCATTGAATTCTTTTATGTGTGTTTTTCGTGTGGATACTTTTCAGAATTCTTAGGGTAATAAGTCATAAAAGGGTTCTACCAAGTAGCAAAAAGAAACGAATTTTGTTAATTACATGTCTCAATATCTGGCACCCTAAAAGGTAATGTATTCCTTTAAAAACATTTTGTTTCTTTTAAGGTTGCCTAAGTTGTTCAATTTAAAAAGCATTTTATTGTCAGCATTTAATAGGCTCCATTTCTATTAACAGAAAGTAATTCTTACTGTTGAGGAATTAGTATTACATGCTAGCTGTCAGTGTGCCACTCTTAAGTGAAGATGTTCGCTTTCAATTTTACTTAACCTTTTTTCTTGCACACTGATCATTGGTTTCTAAGCAGATTTGTTAAGCTCTAATATAGCTGGTTAAAAGTATAACATTGAAGTTGACATTCAATTATTTTGTATGTTTTCCTTGGTAATTTATATTTTAAAAAGATAAAGATAAAATATTAATTCCTGAAATCAGTTCTGATATACTCTCATTTGTATTTTCTTAACTAGTATTTTTGATTTGTAAGAAAAATCGACATTATACTACAGTATTTCCTTAAAAGCTTTATGTCTTTGTCATACTTCAGTTTACTTCTCCCATCAGAAAAACTAAGTGTTCCTCAACCTGTTCTGACCTAGGTGTGTGTTTTTCAGCCCTTGGCTCTGTATGTGAAAATTTTTAAGTATAGATCGTGCATTGTGTGCACACCTCAGAGCATTGCTACAGGAACATGATGAGGTGTTAGCTGTACCAGTGAAAGTACTCTTTTTGGAATTTATAAGTTTTCATCCTTTCTGACTTCTGTTCTTACGTTTGCTTTTGAGATTTTTAGTTAACCAAAAGAAATAATGCTGTATGGTGTCCAAATTGTAGATTTTTCAGTTACCTCAGCAGTATCCTGCCATGTAAATTATTAGTGATTGGTGGTGTAAACCTGTGGATCCAGGTTTTCCGTCTCTGCCCTTGGGCTGGGGCCTGCTCTGTATTACTGCAGGGTCTCTTACTGTCCAGATGGGAGTAGGTTCTTTGGCCCCTTCTTCATCTTGTACCCATATTCACATATAACACATGAAACATAAAAACCTTATTTCTTGTTGAAGTCAGCACTGCTCATTTGTGTACTCAATATTGGATCAGTAATTTTATAAAAATCTGCCTACCAATTCCCTCAGTTAAAATAATGAAATTCTTAATTCATATCTGGGATTCTTAGTTTATACAACCTATATTAATTATCTGCTGAAGGTGATTCGAGATTTTCCAAGTGTATTACAGTGGGATCATGTACCAGACCTAGATGTTAATTTTGTTTCTCCCAGTTATCTCCTCCTTGATAAAGCAATAACACTGCTTTAAGTCTGTTGCCTAATAGCGTGTCAAAGTCCTCTCCTGGATGGTGATTTTATAGGAAAGTTTGTATGCATATCACCCACTCTATCTTTTAAAAAAGTTCAGAAATTTAAATGTATGCTGGAGGTAATGACAATATATTGTGGCATTTTATTTTAAAATTTGGGGAAAGTTGCATATTTTTTTAAAAGTGTTTGAGTAAAAAAAATTGAAGGTACTTTTTTAAGGAAAAAAAATTTATATGCCACAGTTTACATAGACATTTCTGCTCTCAACATGTACTCTTAGATATAATGGCTTCTTTTACTTGGCCAAATGCATGCTTCACTCGGTCAAAACGCATTTCTTCCATCTTAGTTTGTGTTTCTTACATGGCCCTTTATATATTTTTATTGTACCTTAGAAACAAAATTATCTTCAAAAATGAGTTAATTTGGACATATGTGTCATATCAAACTACAGAATGTATAAAATTAAGTTTAGCCCTTTTCTAGCAAGTGATCTTTAAAAATTGAAAATGCTGTTCTTTTAAATTTACCAAATCTGTGTTTGGGAAGGCACCAAAATGATTTGTAAGTGCCACCACAATATTCCCATTCAATTATGGCCAAAATTTCATTCTAAAGAATGAAATGCATGTCTGCTCCTGGTCTGAAAAATGTAGGCATTTGCTATGTTTTAAAACAATGAAACATGTACATAGCCTATTTAAAAAAAACAAAAACAAAAAAAAAAAAAAACATTTGTGCAATTGGAAAGAGTGTTAATTTTTCTATGTAGACCTACCTACATATGAAAGGGTTAAATTCATAGCCTTACTAGTCCCTTGCTTCCAGTGCTTCAACTGGTATTCTCATTATTATTACTACTACTACTGTTATTTTTGCACATAGTTAACTACCCTTCAATATGATTCTTTAAAAAAAAAAAGTGCTGTTTCTGTGATATTGTATTCACTAAATGATCATATTTAATTTTTTAAAACAAGGTTGCAGTTTCTAATTGTTATGTTCTTGTGTTTTTTGCTGGTGTGTAATAAAGCAAATTTTTTCTTTTCATGGTTATTTAATACATTAGCTGCCTGTAAATAATTCTTGTTATAATGCTCTGGAATGTGTTGTAGAAGTTGTATTAGATTAGTTTAAAGCCTTGTTTGAAAACCACATTGTTTTGGTTATTTCTATTAAATTAGAAAATTGAAAAAGTTTTGAAATGAATTTTTTTTCTTCCTGTGTGAGTTGAGATTTACTCATTTTAGTTCATTAAAACATGAATGCTGTACGCGGACAACCTCTAGTGAACAGGATACAATAGCGCCTCGTCCCTGCAGTCTTTAGATTCTGTTAGAATAATGACCATTATAATAGGGATTGATACAGTGTACTTGAAGCAACCAGAGGCTACAGCAGCAACAAACACTGACTAAAGCAGTTGTTCAATAAGAAGACAGCAGACCAGGCAAAGAGGACAAAAGAGAACACTGTAGAAGCCTGTAGGTGAAAGAGAATATGTATATGTTCTAAGAATTGAAATGTGAGTTTACCTGTGAACAGTATAAATTGTTGTGGCAAAATACTAAACTGAAGAGCTAACCAGGATTCTCTTTGTGTTTTATTTTTGGTACTAGGGATCAAACTCAGAATCTCGTGCATGCCAGTCAGGCACTTATACCACTGAGCTATCTCCCCAACTTACCAGAGTTCTCTTTCAGCAGAATTTTGTAAGTGAAAGTGTTTGGGACTTACATGAAGACAAGAAATCTTGTCTGCTTTTTTTGGATGGTTGGTTTTGAAGCAGGATCTCACTATTGAAGTCTAGCCTGGCCTTCAGTTCTTGGTCCTCCTGCCTCACCTTCCGTGTTGCTGGGATTATGGGCACATACCACCACACCCAGTTTAATAAAGAATCCTTAAAGTTTAAGTAAGATAGTGTGCAGAGGAGGGATATAATCATATCTGCCACTTCAGCCATTTCAACAGGGAAGAATGGATTATGGGGAAACCTGGGGATAGAGATGCAATTGTAGGCTATAAGTAATCCAGGTGAGGCTTAAACTAGCTGTCTACAAGTTAAGTTGAAAGTAACAGTCAAGTTTTAAATTTAGAAAGTAAAGTAGGCCAGTAATTGAAGCAAGGTGTTAGCTAACACTCTCGAAATAGGGGAATAGCAGTAGCAGGTGAGTTCAGTTTGGGTGATGGGAAGTTAAGGTACAGGTGTCTGTAGTTAGGATGTTCCTAAGAGATCCCTGAGTGGCAGATAGAGCCCACTCTATCCGGAATTACATCTGTTTTTACTCATCACTGAATATGTCCACATTTAGTAAACGTCCACATTGAGCCATTAACATAACACTTGGTGACTAAAGGGAGAGTGTGGTATTGCCAAGGAAAGTTACAGAATGAGAAGAGTAGAACAGTGAAAAGTGCAGATGAAAAAATATGTAAGAAGTAGGGAAAAAGTCCTATACAGAGACCTATGAGTTAATCATAAAAGTGGAAAGAAAGCACAGGAGTGACAATGAAAGAGCAAAGCAGAGGGGGCAGGGTTTTAGCAGTACTGAGTGTTGAACGAGATGAAGTGGCCATTGAGTTTAGCCATGAAGACACCATAAAGGACCTTGGTGAGGTGTGTCTCCATTTGAGCAGCAACACAGCCATCTGATGAGTGAGGCATGGAAGGAGTAAGCAAACTGCTCTTCTGAAAACGCAGAATTTAAGGATGTGAATAGACAGAACATCAGGGTATACATTTCTAATTGTTGCCTTCTGGATGTATTTATCTTTTGGGATGGGGATGTGTTTTGGGTAGTCATCAAAACATAGATTTGACCATTGTAGACTGTTAGTTGAGCTTTAGTTTTGCTGGTTACCTATATGAACTCTTGAGTTTCATTTGGCTTATCTTTGAAATGAGGATAATCATGTCTACATTATAGAATTTGTATCATGGATTTAGGCCAGACATGGTGGCCCGCGCCTATAATTCCAGCACTCTGGAGGCTGAGGCAGGAGGATAGTCATGAGTGCAAGACCAGCCTGGGCTACGAAGTGAGCTCAAGGCCAGCCTGAACTGCGTAACAAGACCCTGTCTCAAAAAGTAAAGACAAAAAAAAGGTGAATTTAGGTCATTCTTATTACGGGGCTGATACATAGTAGGTTAAACATTTAGTTTTCCTTTCTCTTCTGTCACCATGAAAACAGGCCAGTTAGAAAAATAATTTAGCACCCCCCCTTTTTTTTTTCCACACAGGGTCTCCATGGTGTACACTGTGTAGTTAATGGCCTTGAACTCTAAATAGAGTCCAGACTGGCCTCAAACCCAGCAGTCATGCTTCAGCGTCCCGAGTGCTGGGACTCCAGACATGTGCTAGCCTGCCTGGCTCTGTCCTCAGCTCTTGAAAGTGCATACAATTCTACATTAATTGATTTTTAGAAATTCAGAAAACCTAATTTTTACAGAATAAAAATACAACAATGGTAATTGGAGGATTAGTCTCAAGTTTCCCCTTTTCATTTACTTGGTCTTAGGCTTCAGGTGATAGTAAATTCTTCGAACAAAAAAAAAAAAAAAAAAAAAAAAAATTATTGGTTTGTAAAAATGTACCT